CAACCTAATAGCGATGGCCTCCACCCCAATAGCGATGGCCTCCAACCCAATAGCAATGGCCTCCAACCTAATAGCGATGGCCTCCAACCTATGTGTAGTATACACATTTGATATGCATCCTCTGATGTCTGGAAAACACATTTTCGGTCCTGCGAGGGAGGTGCAGATTGCCGTGCCATCTGGAAAACAGACATGGCTACCCTTGGTCTGGTTCGATTAAAGCGGAACTGGTTTTCAGATAACCTGGAATCAATCGACGCCTTCCAAAACCAATGAAATACAACTGCGCAGTCATCCAACTCAAACGCAGTAGTTAAACTCCCACTTGCTTGCCATCTAATTGATGATATACTGTATCTGAAGTTGTAGCCCTTGACCAAGTCAAATACAAAGTCCATTCAACTGTTGATCCGTTCAAACCCGAGCAACCAGTGGTCTAATCCATCCAAAACTCCCCGTTGCTGCTATGTTGGAATGATCTGCAACCGCTCATGACTGGTCAATCCGAGCTAACCCGCAGACAAGCCACGGCATCGCATGATACGAGGTCAGAAAATGCCTTGGAACTCATGTTGGCAGTGCTCGACGAGTAACCTCTCTAGACAGTTGAGGATTGAACATACTTGTAGCATTGGAAAGAACAGGCCAGGCGAACAAAGGAGCAAGGACAGAGGAACCTTTCGGGCCAAAGTGTGAGCTTTGTGAAAGCACACTGTGCGAGCAGCAACCTGGAACATTGATGAACTTCCAGACCTAGGGCAACAGGCTCTTTTGATAACATCGAAGCAAGGAAGAAGGGGCAAAACCTATCTTCTTGTGCATGAATTTACACACATGTGGCACCATGCCACTATATTACGTGCGCCTGTATCATATCATTCTACACGCCGTTACATTCATCGCACAAGTTACGAGTGTAGGCCATTACCTTGCTTTGCAGTGCATTAAAGCGAAACGACTTACATCTTACATCCACAAACAACATACATTTTTCACTACAGGTTCAGCTCTTCAGCTGGATAAGGCTTGTTTAGACGCTTGCAGTGTCTGCCACCAGGTCAACTCCTGGATAGCTGCTACCCCTGTCCACCTGCACAGCATGCCAGCACGCGTCTCTGAAGGGCTCGACTATACTTTCGGTCACCTACAAGAACCGCATTAGACACCTCACGGAGGAACTGCTTTCCAGGCTAGGCCGGAACTCACTGGAAGACTTTAGTCCATCCACGTGCCACTCTCGACTTGCCAAGGACCAGAACACCGCCTGGAATGCCACTGACTTCCCAAAAGGGGGTCCTTGAACCAAAATGTCATGGAATACATGCCTGCCTGTGTGTATAGAAAGGAATCGTGCAAACCCAACCTTTCTAAACTCAATGCCGGGTTAAATCTGTGTGCATATAGGAAAATAGACTGCATATATATAATATACAGTGTTGCAGAGTCGGTGCGACAGCCTTTCGCCATGCTGCTCCTGAAATCGCTGCCGCTTCCGACGTAGGCGTTCCTGGCAAGCAATGTCTCCGCAGATCTACGTTTGGCCCTCGAGCCCTTGTTATAGTAGTAATGCCCCTGTTACTTGTAGCGATGCACTTGTTACTAGTAGCGATAGCCCTGGCTTCAGCAAGTCTGCAGAGTCGATGGACAGTTAACTGCAAGCTTTAGACCTACAAGAAGACTCTGTCGGCACTATGACATCTCAGAGAAAGCCACAGGATGGGAGGAAAACAGAAGGTAAGGGACGCGTTAGTAAGGCCCTCTTTACAAGAGCCTTACTAAAGGATATTATATAATCAAGTGTCCTTAAATGTCCCTAAAAATCTAAGAACCAAATCATTAGTGCGAGCGCTTCTTGAAGGAAGCTCCCCCCGCCCTCAGGTGGGGGAGCTTCCTTGAAGAAGCGTGAGCTATCGTGCTCCTACCTAGAAGCTACAGTAACTTTCCCCTTACTTGATTCCTCTACCCCCCCCAGGCGCGCACGCGCGCGCGCGAGATCCTGGTAGCGTCCTTGTTCCTAGTAGTAAGGCCAGGAGCCCCTAGTAGCGTCCTTGCTCCTAGTAGCGATGCCCTTTGCTCCTAGTAGCGCCCTAGTAGGTTCTTCTTGTTAAAATGCCTCCCTATTTTTTCGGTCCTGCCGCTCGGAGCTTCGCTTTCGACTCTTTCTATCATCCAATCTGTCTATCTCATTCTCGCGATCCAATCGATTCTCCTTCTCAATATCGGAGTCGCCTGGGCCAGCAAACGGATTAAAAAACAACCTGACACTGAGGGAGGATGTATATGAACAGTACCTCGATGATGTAACAATGCACAAGGTATCCTTTTCCGTCCTAATACTAAACTCTGTCTGATGACGTTGATCCCTTGTGCCATCTGCACAATAGCCAGACATTTTCCACCAAAAGCATTACAACCGCTCAGAAATCAGCTGTGCTGCTTTGATCGCTTTCATCAAATTCTTCCACTGGAGGACGTTCACCTGAGTATCGAAAGCTGTTCTGCTCCTTTGTATCGGCGTACGGTACACCACCAGCCGAAAAAAGCGGCTGCACAATACACAGCTGATCCAATATAAACCCTCCATAAAACCTAGCATATACAATATATAGTGAAACCGCTCCACTGCAATCGCCTGACTCAATCTTGGGATTGTCACTGCAGAGGTCATGTCACTGTACTCAAGGGAAGCTGAGCTGAAACAAAAACGAAATCTTGCAAGGAGAGGGAGCATGATTTGCTTAACTGGTTGGTGGTTTCAACTCACTTGAAAAATATTAGTCAGTGGGTTCAGCCATTCCAAGTAAAGGTTGAACATTGATATATCCGAAACCACCACTCAGTGAAACTTATTTCTGACAAAAAAATCTCACTACAATGATTGGCTGTTGCAAAGGAAGCATATTGTCAACATATGCCAAACAATTAGAGTGGGTAAATGGCCTCGTGCTTCTGCAACCGGGTCATCGTCCAAGACTATGACCCGCTGGTTGTGCTTGGACAAATTCTCCAGCCTGTACGCAAAGTGCACAAGCGTCTTGTTTCCCTTGTCTTCATGAAAAAAACATCACGAGAATCAGGAAACAAAATTGCTGTGTCAACTCTGAAACCACAAGCTGGAAATCCTCCAACCGAAGCAGCCAAGAACTGGAACAGGAACCCTGAAGCTCAGAGTCTCAAGATGTGGCTACAGTACACTCACATTGTCCTGGGCAAACAAGGTGATCATAGAAAATATGATGTGATAGAGCAAGGTGACATGAAGGTGGGCAAATAATCAGAGATTCCATAGCACAAAAAGGTGTTGCGAATACCCTGGCTTGATTTTAAGAACCGGCAAAGCAAGCTCGGATTAAACTTGAGAGCGCATCAAAAGGTAGCTGAGTACCCCACCATAAACATTGTCAGGGGTGGACAATTCCAAA